TTACCTTTCAAACGATACCCCACATGATAAATTAGTTGGAAAAGTTCAAAAAGGTTCCGTATCATCATATTAACTATGAACTTATGAGCATATGAGTGATTAATGCACTGTAGACAAGGTGACAAGTAAAGTAACAATGACAAGATTTGGATTGTGAAGAGAAAAGAAAACTGGTTTGGATTCAGGAAAGACACGAAAAACCACCTGAAGAGTGAAATCCACTTATAATTTTGCAGATATAACATTTTGTTTACTTGTAAAATTTGAACTGATTACTTTCAAAAGTCCTGCAAGAACTGATAGAGGGAATAGAGAAACATGGCTATGATTTGGATTGTGAAGAGAAAAGGAAACTGGATTGGACTCTAAGCAAAGACAAGAAAAACCACCTGAAGGGTGAAAGCCGAATATAATTTTGCAGATATAACATTTTGTTTACTTGTAAAATTTGAACAGTTTATTTGTAAAAGTCCTGCAAAAACTGATAGAGGGAATAGGAAAACATTGGTAAGTTTTAGATTGTGAAGAGAAAAGGAAACTGGATTGCACACTAAGGAAAGACACGGAAAACCACTTGAAGAGTGAAATCCAAAGATAATTTTGCAGATATTAATAATATTTTGTTTACTTGTAAAATTTGAACTTTTTACTTGCAAAAGTCACCATCGGCAATGTGACATATAAAGAAACATTGCCAAGATTGGGATTGTGAAGAGAAAGGAAAACTGGACTGGACTCTAAGGGAAGACAAGAAAAAACACCCGGAGAGTGAAATCCTCTCTATAATTTTGTAGATTTGCAGTTTACTTGTAAAACAACAGTCTTGCAAAATTAATAGAAGAAAATGACTTCACTGTTTGAAAAGAGACTGAGTTGGATAATTAGTGTCTACTGATGAAGATCATAAAAAAATCGCGAAGGATGAAAATATCATCATCAAAGATCAAATAGAAGTTCTAAAACGACTTCAGAATGTAAATGATAGAAAATTTTGACATGATAAGGACAGGGAATTGACAGCAAAAGCACGTGTACAAGTGAGAAAGTCTGAAGAAACTGGGTTGGATATATAAGAGTGTCTTGCAAGGTGCAATACAGGTACGAATACTAATCTGGACAAGAAGAAAGCATACAGGTAGCTAAAAGCATAGGCACATGGCAGAAATTACAGGAGCAAAAGTAAAAGAGTGAAGTTGGTTCTAAATGTGATGTTCTTACATCATGGACTTTCTTTCAGGCAGCAGTACTAATAAGAATAATTTAATAATAATTATTAATAAATAAATATTTTTTATTAATTTGTGATGTAATAGATTATTATCCTAATTACACTTTAATCGAAAATTGACCATTACCACTGTCACAACACAAAATTCAACAACAACAACACCACAGTCTTGCCATAACCTCAAATTTCACAAAGGAAGACTGTCAAAATTAAGTTTTTATCTTAAATATCGAATATTAAGGGGGTCTACGTTTCGATTTTCACGGTCGCCAGCGACAGTGACCTAGGCTCTTTGTTTTCGACGAACGTGACGTTTTTTCACGTCATCGATTGCGCGAAGTGGCGCCGGTGTAGCCCGATCGAGTGCGCGAGGGACACTGGAGGGACAGAAACGGAGAGCGCTTTCCCCGGGCGGGAAAATAATAGATGTATATATATAGGATATATATGTATATATGTATATACCTATAAGGGTTTATAGTCATATGATTTCGTGGACTTTACTCTGATTTCCAACTGCAAACATTTTTTACAGCACATTTTTTGTATAAAAAAGTATCTCA